GCAGGTAAGTGTCTGAGGAACCAGATCTATCAAATTTTGGGGTACTGAATCAGGTGGAGGTTTGAGGGATCAGACCTAGGTACTGTGGAGGAGCATGGATGGGTCGGGGTGTGAGGGACCAGACCTAGCTATTATGGGATAGCTGGGACAGGTAGGAGTGCAAGGGACCGGATAGAACAACTGTTGGGGAGCTTGGCAGATGGGAGTATAATGAATTAAGCAGCTTTTGGGGAGCTGGATCAGGTGGAGGTTTGAGGGACCAGACCTAGCTTCTATGGGGGAGCTAGGTCAGGTGGAGGTGTAAGGGACAGACCTAGCTGCTATAGGGCAGCTGTAGTAGGTGGGTGTGCAAGGGAACAGACCTAGCTTCTGTGTGGGGGCTGGGGCAGGTATGGGTGAGTGGGGCAGGAAGGGGTGTGAGTGGCCAGTCCTAGCAGATATGGCGGAGCTGAGACTGGTGGGGGTGGTGAAGGCCCAGCTCTAGCAGATACGGGGGAGTTGGGACTGGTGGGGATATGAGGGACCAGACCTAGCTGCTGTGGAGAAGCTGGGGCAGTTGGAGGTGTGAGGCTCCAGACCTGGCAGTTGTGGGAAACCTGGGTCAGGTGGGGATGTGATGAACCAGACCTAGCAGATATGGTAGTGCTGGGACTGTTGGGGGTATGAGCAACCAGACCTAGCCACTTTTGGGGAGCTAGGACAGGTGGAAGTTTGAAGGACCAGACCTAGATATTAAGGGGGAGCTGGGGCAGACATGGTATGAGGGACAAGACCTAGCCACTGTAAGTTCAGGCAACTATACTGAGAAGCTTCAGTGGGGCTGAGACAGGTGGGGGTGTGAAGGACCAGATGCAGCTGCTTTGGGGGAACTGGGGAAGTGGGAGTGTGAGGGATCAGAGCTGGGAGTTACGGGAGAGCTGTAGCAGGTTGGAGTATGAAAGACAAGACCAAGCAACTACAGTGGATTAGGGCAGGTGAGATGTGGGAGACTGGATAAGCAGTCATAGAGTGGCTGGCGTAGTTGAGAATTTGGGGTACTGGCCAAACAGTTACAGGAAAGCTGCGTCTTATGGGCATTTCAGGCTGACCGCTACAGAGCACGTCCTTGTGAGAGGAAGCAGGTCAAGCTGCTTCCGAGGAGGGAGGGCTAGTGGTGGTGTGGGGGACTGAGCCCAGCAGCTACTGGAGAGCTGGGTGAGAAGGAGTGTGGGGCACAAGGTCAAACAGCTCCAGGCAATCTGGGGCTGTGGAGGTGTGGAGGGCTGGACTGAGAAGCTACAGTGTCTGGAGTAGGTAGAGTTGATGGTGGTCCAGAGAAACCCAGATCAAGCACTAAGATAACCCTGAAGCAGACACGAATGAGGGCAGGTATCAAAGTCAGGGTCCCAGAGCAGCCCCAGGAATTTAGGGCACCAGGACAGAGCTACAAGGGCTCTGGAAGAGATGGGAATGTTGGGGCCCAGAGAAGCCCCAGTAGCTCTGGGGATCAAGCCGAGCAGTTGCAGGGAAAACAGAGCTGGCAGGGTGTCAACGACAAGACCGTGTAGCTACAGGAGTGTTGGAGAAGATAGGAGTATGAAAGGCCCAGAAGAAGCTACTGAGGAGCTGGGTTGGTGTGGGGCTGGGGGAGCCATGTCCAGTACCTATATGGGGGCAGGAGTCTTGTGAGTCTGTGGGTTACAGTTCCAGTATCAGAGGTCCTCGCTGTGATCCTGGGAGCTTACAGCAACATAAAATGGCAGGGGGTGGGGGTGGAGTCAAACCTGTTATGGCAGAATGAGTTGTGCCCAGAGTTGACCCACAGAAGAAAGGCAAGGTAACTATCGGAGCTTGAGTAGGGGATTGCAGAAGGTGGGGTTCAGGGAAGGTAGAGAGAAGACCAAAAGGCTGCTGGGAATAAGAAGAATGAACCATAGCATTTGCGTGTGGTTTTGTTCAACAAAAACAAAGGCGGGGAAGACATATACAAAACTAAATCCTCTTTTACAACCCAGACTCATTGTTCAATATGAGTTTTGAAACATAAAATAAGAAATATGCTATTAAAAAGAAAAGAAGAATGAACCAGAATCAGAAGGGATAGTAGCCTATCCAACTATGTCAAGGACTACTGGGAAAAGAAAGGAACTTTTCTGGGATCTGGCAGTATTGGCACTATCAGGTGCCTTTCCCCACACCACCTCCCTCCACTCTAGACTCCCCATAGGAGGCCTCACCCTAAAAAGATCTTTAAGGTCAAAGTCCAGGATCTAGAACTGGAAGCTGCTGGCCTTACTTGACTCAGAGAAACTCAAGAATACATAGTCTTCAGAGCAAATCTAAGGCAAGGGCCTCTCCAAATATTTGACCTGTGTCAGACAAGCTCACACATCCCCCCTCTCTTGCAGTCTCAACAAAAGCCCCATCTGTCTATCCACTGGTTCCTGGATGTGGAGGCACAACTGGCTCCACAGTGACCCTGGGATGCCTGGTCAAGGACTATTTCCCTGAGCCAGCGACCGTAACCTGGAACTCTGGAGCCCTGACCAGCGGTGTGCACACCTTCCCGGCGGTCCTGCATTCTGGGCTCTACTCCCTCAGCAGCTCAGTGACTGTGCCCTCCAGCATGTGGCCCAGCCAGACCGTCACCTGCAACGTCGCCCACCCGGCCAGCAGCACCAAGGTGGACAAGAAAATTGGTGAGAGAACAAGCAAGGAAGGAATGGTTTGCTAGAGGGGGGTCTTAAGCCATCTGCATACCTAGACCAACCAAGCTGGTCAGCCATTGCCAGGGAAGGGACCTCAGCCCAGAACAACGGGAGATCCTGTCTCTGCCTCTCTCCCATCCCACCCAAGGAGTGATCCCCTGGGATAGATATTGATAGCCCTCAGGTCTCAACCCACCAAGGATCATTTCCAGAAGCAAGTTGGCCTAACCCCATGCCAGGAACAAACATTCCCCACCCTGGCTTGGTGTATTCTCTCCTCCAAACCCCAGTAACATCCAGCCTTTTCTCTACAGAGCCCAGAAAACCTGAACCTCTTCCTGATAAGTGTCCTACTTGTCCTACGTGTCCTACATGTCCAGGTAAGTCACTAGGCCTTGTGCTCTAGCCCTAGAAGGATGGCAAGTGCCCTGAATGATCCTACATTGGAAGGTGACCCAGGTACTGACCCATTTCCATCTCTCCTCCAGCTCCTGAACTCTTGGGTGGACCGTCTGTCTTCATCTTCCCCCCAAAGCCCAAGGATGTGCTCATGATGTCCTTGCAGCCCAAGATCACATGTGTGGTGGTGGACGTGAGTGACGATGAACGAGATGTCCAGTTCAGCTGGTTTGTGGGCAATAAAGAAGTGAAAACAGCTCAGACACAGTCTCACGAGGAGCCGTTCAACAGTACCCTCCGTGTGGTCAGCGTCCTCCCCATCCAGCACAATGACTGGCTGAGTGGCAAGGAGTTCAAATGCAAGGTCAACAACAAAGGCCTCCCAAGCCCCGTCGAGAAAACCATCTCGAAACGCAAAGGTGAGTTACGTAGTGTTAGTGAGGCAGGTGTGTGATATCTTCAGAGAACGAGGTCTGGGATGGACAGTTCTCCACTTGAATGACCCCTTTGTCCATTTCTAACCCCTCAGGGCAAGTCCGAGAGCCACAGGTCTATACCTTCGCTCCACCTGCAGAGCAGATGACCAAGAAAGAGGTCAGTGTGACCTGCTTGGTCACAGGCTTCTTCCCTGAGGACATCGATGTCGAATGGCGGCAGGGCAACGGGCAGCCGGAGCAGAACTACAGGAACACCCCGCCTATCTTGGATTCTGAAGGCTCTTACTTCATGTACAGCAAGCTCAATGTGCAAAAGAGCAGGTGGGATCGGGGAGAGCAATTCACCTGCTCCGTGGTCCATGAGGCTCTGCACAACCACCAGACGACGAAGACCATCTCCCGGTCTCGGGGTAAATGAGCTCAGCACCCGGAAAGCTCTTAGGTCCTAAGGGACACTGGCACCCTTCTCCACCTTTCCCTTATATAAATAAAGCACCCAGTACTGCCCTGGGACCCTGTGAAGCTGTGGTTCTTTCCAGGATATAGAGGCTAGGTCATGCGCTGTGAGATCTGGCCAGGGTTTGAGACCTGAGTTGTCTTTAGGAAGAGAATGAGGTTTCCGCACTGCCAGACCCAGAGCTCATGAGTTTGCCTGACCTGGGGTGCCAGGGCTTAGCCTTAGGCAGTGCCTCTTCCTTGCCTTCCCACTAACCAGCAGCTTCTAGACAGAGAAATATACCTAGGAAACCCCCAAGGAAGAAAACACACAAACTCCCCCTCCCTCAGTCTATTCTTGAGCCCTTCCCCCACCTCCGTATCTAGGGGTTTCGTTCAGTACACTTGCAGAGGCAAGCAATGACCCTGGGCATGCCAAAGACTCTTGCCATCGCTCCGCGAAGCTTTGCACGGGCTAGGTCTGCACACCCATAGGACACTGGCCACCCACGGTACACTCACTCCTATGCCCTGAGAGAGAGACTACTAGACACCCACATGCATGCTGAACCCTGACCCATTAAAACCAGGCTGCTGCACATCACCCAGCCCGTATGGCGTATTACACACAGGCACATGTGCGGCGTACACACAACACATTGGGACCTTACCTGTGTGCCCTGCACAACACCTACACCCAGAAATGCATCAGGATACCCCCAACCACCACCTTACAGTCCACATTTGTGCCCCCACAAACAAACACAACTCTCCTCTTCTGAAGGCTCCTGCAGTCTATGCTAAACCCACGTCCTCTGGAGCCAAATCTGTCCCTGGTACCTCAAGGTCATGTTTCAATCCCACATAAATTATACAGCCCACAGCCATAATGGTCTGGGTTGCTTCACATTGTGGAGTTTTCCAGGCAAGCCCAGACACAGGCTTTATTGGTGACCGGGAGACAGGCAAAGGTTCTATAGCCACTGCCCACTGTGGTCACAGCCCCTACTT